ACTACATCAACACAGAGAGCAAGGGTACGTCTCTGCATGCAGAATGCTGGCAGGGGACAGACTTTTCTACTCTGTGTGTGGCTGCTTTTTAAAGGTTAAAAAAAAAAAAATGTTCGGGCCCAGTGCGGTGGGCGTGGCTTATGCGTCCTGTGGGCACGGCGGGACGTGAGCAACGTGTGCTTCAGGCCGCGTGTAGAGCCCCGTACAGGGAAATCAATCGATAGCCGACGATCGAAAACGTTGGTAACGTTTTCAATCGTCGATTTTAATCGACTAAATCGATTAACTGTTGCAGCTCTATTTTTAATGCAACTAATGGAAAAAATAATCAGGCAACTAATCAATTAAGAAAATAATCGTTAGCTGCAGCCCTACACGCCACTGTGCTGAGGGAATACATGTTAAGTGTTTGATGCCAAACATTGTTAATGGCACCCCAACGCACTAGAGTTGCAGTGCATCACACGGTAATGCATTCCCATGTATTGTGGTGTGCTGTAATGCAAAAAATGCTACAAGTCAGATTTTTGGTCCGTTGTAATGCATTAACATGCCTGTATTCCAAGCACTGCAACAGACCACCCTGGTGTGAATGAGCCCCAAGACTTTGCATTCCTTTTGTTTTGACGCACCCGAATTGTATTTAGCCAAAAAGTTCAATAGCATTTACCCTAAAATGCATACAGTTTGTAGGGGGCAAGCTCTAATACATGTACAACGTAAACAACTTTTGTTGTTTATTTTAAAATATATTTTAAAAAACTGTTTAAAAGTATTTGGAAAAACCAGTTACACAGGGGAAAAAATGAGAGGTAAAGCATTGTGAATGAGGAAGCAGCAGAACGGGAATACCCCCCAAGGTAGATTATCTTGATCACTCTGCTTCTGCATTCATGAATGTGTATGATGTATCTTACTACATAACCAGAAAAAATAAGCAGGCTTTTTAAACCACAGCCATAGACAACTCTTGAAAAGCAAGACAATCAATGTATACCTGTATAATGTACTATATTGCACACCACACTTTGTTTACTTGCAACATGGTGAGTACTTGAAAAAAAAGTATCGGTACCCGTACTCGGTCTTAAAAAAGTGGTATCGGTGCATCCTACTTGCAACGCTCCAAGCTTGCTCCCATGATGGACTACAATCCCAATACAAACTAGTCCATCACTGGAGCCATTTTTTTAAAATATCTGATTAACCAAACTTAATAAATCGGCTAACTAATCGATTTTGAAAATAATCGTCAGCTGCAGCCCCAACACAGATTTTTTTCTTTAAATTATTTTGTGAATAGGAACATATAATTTATAGAAGGGTTCCTAAACTTGACCTCAAAAATGTAAATACACTTTAATCCTATGAACAATGCAACCCAAGTTCTGTTAAACAAGAGGTGACTGCAGGCCCGATCACTTGCTGGCATCTCTGACGAAGAACAAAGGCGAACAGATACATTACTTTAAAGGCTGCGCGGCAACGCTAAAATCTTACTGGTTTGCAGCTATAATATAGCCACAAACGTGCGGAATCCATCAAAAGACAATAAAGAAGTATCACACTTGGACTATTTTGCACCACAAAAGTCTGAACAATGCACATTAAAGTACATTGTTTTTTCTGTTTAGAACGGCTCCACCTGTATTCCGCCGACCGAATACGCGCAGACAACCACTTCTGTGTGAAAAGAGCCTATAAGTCCCATGCCATCAGACTTTGGTATGGCAGTAGCTTGTAAGCAAACTGGAAATTGAATTGCTCATAATATCCTATGACAAGAGGAAACATGAGATCCCTCAGCTAACAGATCTCATGAATACATGCCTTCAGGGCACTTTTAAACACAATGCCCCACCTTGTTGTGTTATAACATGTCAGCAGCCCAAAGAAGCCAGGTGAGTCAGAAAACAGCTGTATTCTTCCATCGATTTCTAGCTTCATCTCTGTAACCGGACAACGCAGGGGAAAGTAGATGACGGTAAGGCAAGTTGTAGGTAAAGTTTTGTTAAAGAGAACCTGCTTTTGACCATAAAAAATGAATCTCTTGTCAAATGTATGGAGACCTTTCCAAGCTGTGAAGTGCTTGTAACAAAACTGAGTCATCACAAGTCAAACATAAAAGTTATGTATTATATAATGTATGCAATGTTTACTTCCCTACGACTAACTTTACACACTGTAAAAGTGGACCTTTACCCCTTTCACTAAAAATCACAGCAGCATACAGCTCTGTGTGCCGACATGAAATCATCTTGCATCCATTCGTTAGACATGTTTTTCATTTACTTACAAATATTTATAGTAATGTGCCCAAGTGTTGCATCCTGGGAAGGTTACATCAGTAGAGCATTGCTGGGAAATCTCATGGAAAGGCATTTTCCTCCCCTGAGATGCTGTGCATGGTCACATGTCCTAGTCACATGTGCCAGAAACATAGGAAGTAAAGGGAAATCTAGTAATCTGCCCGTAGTAAACATGACCACTGTTAGAAGACTGGGGAAGAAAAGAGAAATAAGGTATGGAAAGAATACAAAGCCGGCTATTATCATCTAGAAGTATGCGCTTGTACAATGTCAGTACTAAACCTTTGTAAAAGGTGTGTTTAAAGAAGTAATGCGCTGATTTCAGCACATTGCGCTGTATAGCATTTTATTGTTCAAACTTCATTGAAGTGACATCCAATTCATGTGGTGTAGTGCACACATGCTGTGGTGAAAAAAAAAAAAAAAAGTGTACCTACAGCATGTGGTACATTTTCAGCGCACAACGCTGCAATGCAACTGCCTTGTCTATGCATTAGGACTGCACTGAACAATTCTGCCCAGCACAGCCAATACATCTGGCGTGAATGGGCCCTTCAAGTTAGTCTCCACTGCTGGCAGGCAGGGCAGTTTTGGGGCATTTTTTCCAACCTGAACCGCCTAAAAACCACAACATGGCAACTGATAGCCACAGTAGACACAAAATTAGCAGCACAGTAGCGCATAAAAAAAAGGTGAAGTGTGGCATGTAAAAGAGAACTATGGCCAAACCTTTTATGCAATAGTTCTCTTTTGTGTCACAGGAGGACATTTACGAATGTCCGCCTGTGACCCAAAACTCAGCATGACTGCAGCCGGGAAAGATCCCGACAATATTGTCAGGATTCACCCCGCTACCTGATTGACAGCTGGCTCTGCCCCTCTGGAACCAGAGCCAGCTGTGCCCGCTCTGTCCTTGTCTGAGAGGGGAGCGTGGAATCCCTGTGGGGAGCAGTGACAGACAAGTCACCGCTTTCTGCAGAAAGAAGATCATGAACTGAGTGATCAGTGGTATGTGATCGCTCAGTTGTCAATCTATAGAGCCGACGTGTGACAGATGCAGTGTCCCGAGTCGGCTCTAATTATGGGGATGAGTGCATTTGACTTTCCCCATAATTCTCCTTTAAGAGCATCACCGTGAGGCAGCCTTCCAACTTCCCAGTGCAAGGGTGGTCACACACGTTCAAAACCCCTCCCAAATGTAAAACAAACATGACGCACGTTTTCAAAGTGTTAGCGAGCAATGAATAGGCAACGCTGGTTGACGAGCTCTAACAGTCAAACGTACATCATCTATGGAAGCCAAGGAGGCTGCACAGGAACCTGCATACTACTGTAGACCCAAATCACCCCTACATACAATGGACAACCCCAAAACAAAACACGTCAGAAACAGCGTGAAACATGTCAGGGGCAACTCATCAAATAAGAAACATTGCTGTAGCCGGGAGTCCGGTGATTCATTTCCTTTTCTGATTGATAAGTCGGCGTGCAATGAGTCAAGCCAACAGACAGGGAATTTGCAGAGGAGACTTTGATGATCCACTCAGGACACAATAGAGATGCAGACAAACTCACACAACAGAAGGCAAAAAACTTCCTCTTGCAGTGGGGCTACCCCATACTGCAAGGGTTAAAAGGAGAATTATGGGGAGAGTGAAATACACTCATCCTCATATATAGAGCTGATGTGTGACACGGAAGCTGTCACAGGTCGGCTCTATAGATCGGGAACTGAGCGATCACATACCGCCGATCACTCCTGGGACCCCCGATCACTTCCCACAGGGATTCCTCCCTCTCCAACGCTGACCGGAGGGACAGATGGGGGACGGGGTGGCCACAGCTGGCTCTGGCCCTAGAGAGGCAGAGCCAGCTGTCAAACCAGCAGTGGGGTGGATCCTGACAATATTGTCGGGATCTTTCCCGGCTGCAGCGCATCTCTGCACTGTAAGCATATAGAGGGCAATAGCCAGTTATATGCTGAGTTTTGGGTCACAGGAGGACGTGGGCATATGTCCTACTGTGATCCTTAAAAAGAACTATGGCAAAAAAAGATTTGGCTATAGTTCTCTTTTAAGTGTTTATCTTGTGGGTTCATATAAAGCAGATATGCTCACCTGATCCTAAGTCCTGCTTGGCTGCTAGACCGGTCCACACAGCCTCCTCTCCCCTGGGCTGTGGTGGTGACATTGTCACATCTTATACAGGTCTATTGACTTGCATTAGACGTGAGGACACAGAGGGACAACCCATAGCTGGAGCAGAGGGGGAGAAAGGCAAGGGCTGACCACCGTGGAACAGAGGATTAAGTATATGTACTTTATCTGAGCCCCCTAGACAAGACCAACATTTAACCCTTGCAGTGCAGGAGTAGTCCAAAGGCAAGGGTAAGTTTTCTGTTTACTTGGGAGTTCTTCTTTAGGAGGCAGTAATAAGGAGGTGAAGGATTATATTATGTTCTATTTCAGCAATTGTTAGATAACAAAATGTCTCCTGTCCTCCAATACGAAGCACCGGAATCATGCCTGGTGAGCTTTATATATATATATACACACACATACATATACACACACACACAACCCCTAGCAGACAGGCAGACGGTCCTCCGAGCCCGACTACAGGGGTGACAACTGCAACAACATAATACATAGGCAGAGACAGGCGCCCTCCTCCCCGGACTGTAACACTCACTCGGCATCGTGCAGCTCCGGCTCCTCGCTGCTCATGTCTGCGGGCCCATCCCCATGATTCATGACATCAGGTAGCGGACCCCGGGAGGCAGCCACACACGCAGCACAACAAGGAGTGGCCCTCACGGGTCCCGCAGGGATCCCTCGGTGTGCTCGGCCTCCCGCAGCTTTTCAGGCTTCAGTGAAAGTGGGCGGCGCGCTGCATTGTGGGAAGTGTGGTCCTGCCTCTTGTTGTGCCCCGTTATTTCTCACACTGCGACTACAACACCCAGAAGTCAAAGCGTCACGCACGGCGTGAACGCTGCGGAGTCGCCCTCTGTAGGTGACGTAGGGATAAGGCGGATGGTCGCGAATAGGTAGAATAGTGTGATGTTATTTGCAGGCAATGGGGGGCAGGAAAAAAATATTTTTTTAATTTTGTTTAACCGGGGGAAGGTTTTTTTTTATTGTTTGTGACCCCATTGGGGAGATTCATTCACTTCTTTAGTAGTCACTTGGACAGGAAGTAGGGATAATTTGTGTCACAACAATAAAATTATACTTTTTTAGTAATGAAGCATTTTTAGGTTTAAAGCATATTTTATTTTTATTTTATAGATATAGATATATAGATAGATATATATTTCTCTCTCTCTATATATATTATTATTTTGGTTTTTTTGTTCCTTCCCTTGTGGGAAGGAACAAAACAGTGACAACTAGGGTTGCCACCTGTCCAGGATTCACCCGGACAGTTCGGGTTTTGAATGCTGTGTCCGGGTTTCATGGCAGCAGAAACCCGGACACAAGATGTCAGGCACACAGGAGAAACCAAAATTAAGATAGTGGCTACTGGCCCCACACTGAAAATAGTCTCAACTGTGATATTTACATATGAAGGGGCGGCACTATTTACATATGAAAAAGCCGCAACTCATTCTTCCAAGAAAATTTCCGTGTGTTGCTAGAGTGTTCGGGTTTCAATGGAAGAAAAGGTGGCAACCCTAGTGACAACTCACTTTCTGAGCTGTCACCAAGAAAGGAAGTAGAAGAAAAATCTCCGACAAAGGCATTAAAAACCTACAAAGGTTCTAACCTTTGCCCAAACTACTTCAGGCTGTAAAAAGTTAAGCCTGGAATTGGGCTTTATATTTTGTTTTTTAAACATCAACATCACCTTGAAATACAGAAATAAATCCAATGCAGCATACAGAATTGTTTTGCCTTTGAGTTGCTCAAGGGGATGACTCCAGCTGCTTTTGCACACAAAATGGCTTATTCTATGAGTCTATGGTCCATTGTGAGACACAGGAACAGAGTATAAGACCATGGGGTGTATACCGCCCCCTACAGGAGACATGCCCATGTGTCTATTGTCCTCACAAGTGTGATGGTCTACTCCTTCATCAATGGTAACACAAAGCAATGACTCTTCCAGTGGAGTTCAGCCCCTCTCCATGGATCCCAGAGTTAGCTATGGTCATCGTTCTCCTGTTCCATATACTCATTGTCAGGCTTAGTCTGCAGCTAAAACTCATGCTGCATTTGGTCATATATATCTTAATAATATCGGTCTTTATGGGGACTTGACTATTGCGGATCAGAAGCATTACTGAGTATGCAGGATGAGTTGATGCTGGATTATAGCCAGGCCTCTCACTAGTGATGTGCGGGGGGCTTGGTGTGAACCAACTGTGCCCAAGCCACACAGAACTATCAATTACAGACACAACCTCCCAGTCCAATCAGTTGCACACCCCACAGTTATATGTAACAAAGGGGCAAGAATGCCCCGGCTGCAACTGATTGGAGAGGGAGGGTGCGTCACTGACAGTGTTGTGTGGGCTTGGGTGAACTTGTGTTACATCTCTCCATGTAACACACTAGTAGTTGTCTGTGCAGATGAGCAATCTCTCTGTCTCGGGATGGTTGGCATATTAGACATCCAAGGGGCCTTGTTTGTCACCTCAGTCACCAAAATTTTGTATGGGGCCCTGTGATTTCTACTTACGCCCACCTGATAACCCAAACAGCCCACCTGAGAGTGATCCTGCAGAGCCCACCATAGACCCTCTATGGTGGGCTCTGCAGGATCTCAGGTGGGCGGTCAAACCCTCTTACCTGTCAGCCCCAATCCTCTGTCCGCCTCCTTCTCCTCCAGGGTCGCTGGCAGCCCCACCTCCTCTGTCACTGGGCCCCGCCTCCTCCATCACCAGGCACCTCCTCCTCCATCGCTGGGCCCAGCCTCCTCCATCGCTGCCGACGACAGGCTCAGCCACCTCCTCCAAAGCTGCTGGTTGTCACCGACTCAGCAGCGGCTGTGAGGAGGAACGCGCCCCGCTGCACACATCACTGACATGTTGTCAGTGATGTGAATAGCGGCGCATTCTAAGGGGCGAAGGGGGTTCTTCACAGTAAGATCAGTTAGGGTCTGGAACTCACTGCCACAGACAGTGATTCCAGCAAAGAATGTGGAATTGTTCAAGAAACTTTTGGACGATTTCTTAAGGGACCGTAATATACAGGGGTACAGGTACTCCTAGAATGAGATCCTAATAGGTTGGACTTGATGGACTAATGTCTTTATTCAACCTCAAATACTATGTAACTATGTAACTATGTAACTATGTAATGTTTAATGTTATTATTGTAAAGATATGGGTAAAGGTCTGCTTTAAAAGGAACCTGTTCTTTGCTCATAATGGCAAAGTAACAGGTTTGCTTTACAACAGGGGTAGCTAAACTTCTGCCCTCCAGCTATGCTCAAAACTACAAATTCCATTAGGCATTGCAAGACTCTGACAGCCACAGGCATGATGTCCAGAGGCAGATGCATGATGGGAATTGTAATTTCACCACTGAGTACCCCTGCTTTATAGTGAATGACCATAAGCAACATGTATTCCTGTTGCTCCAATCTGCTGCCAGCTCACTCAAGATTCATGTGTAAATGTCACATTGCTGAGCAAATATAAACTTTACCAGAAATGCAGCAAGCGGAATTTTGTTAAACCTCCCGTACTAAAGTGCATAGATGACAGCTCTACCATTAAAAACTCTGTATACATTTAAGGTAGGGATGCACCGATACCGGTATTTCGGTACCGAGTACGAGTACCGGACGTCCCATTCAGGAAGCCAGGCGGCGTGTAATGACTCGTGTAATGTCATTACACGCTGCCCGGCTTCCTGATTGGCCGGGAAGCCGGCTCTATGCTCTCTTGTCACAAGTGAGTCCCTAATTTAAGGTGCATTTTAAGTGCTCCTAAAAGTGCAGAGATTCTGTATGAATAAGCCATACAGTAAACCTAACAGGTCCTAAAAAGTACATACCGTATACTGCTGAACTACCTATGTTAACCCTCAAATCATTTTCTATACTTGTGGGGGACCCATGATCCCAGTTTTATGATCCCAGCTAACGGCTTCTGCTAAGCCATACAACAGCATAGTGACAGCACACAAACAGATATCACATTGCCGGCGTACAGCACATTTCTCCTCAGACAGTTTTTTTTAAAAACCATTGCTCAAAACATATTAAAGACTGTCAACACTTGTCCTTGCCTGGCTTTAAAATAAATGTCTGAGCAGTAGTATGCTGCTCTATGTGGGATCCTGCTGGTGGGTTCATTCTGATGGGTCATGTACTGCGCCTGCATACAACACTTCTGGACTTGTTTATTTTTTAAGTGCTACATTTTATGCTTTTGAATATTTAGTCGCAGAACCTTAGTGGGCAGTAGAATCTGTGATATTTGAACCAAAGGGCCATTATTAACACCTGTGGCTATTTAAAGCTCATCTCTAGACAAAAATAAACCCCCTCTAATTCATCCTGCATGTTTTCTTTCTTGATATACTCACAAGTTTGCCATCCAAGTCCCTTATAGTCACCATTCCAGGTACGGGGGACCACTAATCCTGCACTACAATTGTGCCCGCACCAGACGTCCCAAACAGGCTAATTGTGGTGACGCAACAAAAACGACACTGGCGCATTCAATTGCAAGATGGCCAGCTCTGGTAAAAGAAACACTGAAGAGGCAGCTCCCACAGGTCAAATAGACCGCCAATCTAAGAAACAAGAAACGAAAAAGGGCACCTCCATAGTGTAAAAATGTAATTTAATGATAAAACACACAGCTTAGGCTATACTTACCAAAGTTCAGTAGAATAAAAGCATGTATAATTCGATGGGAACTCGAAACCTCTAGCAGCGCTGATCTGGAAAGATGTATTACACCAGCGTCCTCTGCCCCCATATGTTCAACAGGTTTACGCGTTTCTGGGGCACGTCCCCTTCATCAGAACCTATGGAACCTAGCATGTAGAATTCCATATGGAACCTAGGTTCTGATGAAGGGGGCGTGCCCCAGAAACGCGTAAACCTGTTTAACATATAGGGGCAGAGGACGCTGGTGCAATACATCTTTCCAGATCAGTGTTTTATCATTAAATTACATTTTTACACTATGGAGGCGCCCTTTTTTGTTTCTTGTTTCTTTAATTGTGGTGACGTCTCCATTGTTGTCAGGAAGCAGGGGGTGTTGCCCCTGCTCGGGGGCCACGGGTACGGCGCAGGGCACGGGTTTCCTCTCAGCTTGGCAGAACTCGTGGTGCCCGGGTTGCGGGTACGCATGCGCGAGCCGCACGGCGGGTGCGCATGCGCGGTACGCAGGCTGCGCGCACATCCCCGGGGGCACGTGTGTAGCACTCCTGCATCATTAGGCATCAGGTGTAGCCTTGCTGTTGCTGAGTTATTCCACCTCATGGTGTGACATACGAAGCTCCCCTCCTATGTGCCTTGTTGCCTGTTTCCTGAATCCTCTGCTGACCTCCCGTGTACCGACCTTGGACCGCCTATTGTTTCTGACCCTCTGCTGCCTGCCTCGAACTCGGATTACCCTCGACTACCTCTTTGGATTGCCCCCTGATTACCTTGCCTTCGGACCCTTCCGGCTGCTTCCTGCCAGCGGGTTCCCTCTGTGCTGCTCGCCCGCGGTCGCACCTGATAATTGTAGAGTACTCCTCTGAATCCCAAGGGACAGCCAATAGGAATTGTCCATGTCACGCAGGCAGTGGATGCAAACACCTGAAGAAAGACCCTTCCTCCTGTGAAAAGAAGAGAGAAGACTCTGGACTGAAGCATCATGTGACCTTGGCTTTATGCGAGCAAAAGCGATCTTTTTTTTTTTTGTAATGCCAGGGATCAGTTGGGAGTAGAGTTGCCACCTGTCCACGATTCACCCGGACAGTCCG